CGTTGTAAAATGTCGAACCTACACGCCGGACTGGAAAACGATAGCGTTTTCTACAGCTAAAAAGTACGAAAGTAGTAAATCAACTAAAGAAATAACAAAATAAAGACGACGAATTAAAACCTTAATACCATATGTGCAATAGGGATGATGACTGTGTAAAAAAAATGAAATTCTATTTAGTCCGTCAATCAGATAATAGAAAAATATTAGATACGTATTTTTTTTTACTTCAATTTAACAAGAAATAGTATAGATAACAGGCATTAAAGTTGAGGAGTGGGGGCTCGCTACGTCACAGTTGAGTAGAAAACGTACTCTAACGTGACGTCATGCGAATTTTCAACTCAATGTAACGCCGTAATTTTATGATTACGAAAAAAATAAAACAAATACTTGTTTAATATTTTTTAACACTCTACCTGACGGACAAACAAACAAAAATTAGTCATCATCCCTATTATACTTTACAATGATCTTCCCTTTTTATCCTTTTAATCTAAACACATAACAAGAATATTTCGTCAATGCTAATCTGTATTAATTGAGTGAAAAAAAATATAAATCCATATAATTACAATGAAGGTTGTTACTACGTCTGTCCTTAAACATTACCGTTTTCAAATCGTCAATATTTGTTAACACTTTATTCATTTGCAATCGGACTGAAATCTTAATTAAACAAAATGATGGTAACATAACCGCAATGCAACACCACTGTACAAATTCTGATGTCGTCACTAGGTGAGTGGCAAAGTAAATGGACTTATAAAAATATAATAATAATAGATTTTAAATAAATTATCCATCATAAATGAGTAGCTTTCGGAAAATTTCGAGAAATTTTCGCTTCCATGACAACTCTTCCGGTTTTCTTTCATTTATAACAGTAAATTAGTTTTCAAAACTCAATAAACAACTCATATTCTAAATATTATAGATAGATAGATAAATAGATAGATAGATAATATATTTATTTGCATTATTAAAATAGCACACATGCATTATAAAATTCTATTACAATAAAAAAAATACAATAAATAAAATTCGCTTTAACGTTGGCGCACACGTTAAAGCGAATTTTATTTATTGTATTTTTTTCAACAATGCAAAAGGGTAAAAGCTCAACGATTCCTTTGCTCAAGGAGCAAAGCGCTGATTTTCAGCCTTTACCCAGAGTGCTAGCACGATCTCAAACTATAGCTTCACTTTGATATGATAGTCTGATTAAAAATTGCATTCAATCACAAGTATTATAATGGAATATAGTATAATTTATTTAATTAATCAATTAATTTCAAAATTTAAATTGTGAGAATAATAAATATTTTAAATATAGTCACTATCACAGATTACATATGTCGGAGCATTAAAAAACAGTATTTTATATTATATTTGATCAATTTCGCATTCACAACGCTATACTTGCGAAAGGTCATGGGTTCGAATATCTGTGGTTCGAATCCCATCTCAGGGTGCCTGGGACCAAGAGGATTTTTTAAGCATTTTTTAGTAAGAAAACTCATATTCTATTTGTACTTTTTCTTATTTGTATTGATATCTAAATTTCGAACTTTGCTATTTTTAGTTTTTTACTATGTCAGTTAAAAGGAACGGAAATGCCTCTTTGGTCCGTTCGTTTCCTGCAAAAACCAACTTTTGCTAGAGTCGCCATCTAGTGGCGGTGCCTTTTTGTGCTTTCTTTTTTAAAAAATACTTCCTCTTTCTGCTTATGTTACTTACTTAAGTAGCACACTTTACCAAATATTACAATAGCAAATATTACTGGTACAATGGCGTTTTGGTGAATCAATGACTGATTTTTGTTTGTTAATATAATGTGTACGTTCAATATAGTGGGTCTAATCTAATGCCCTCAAAATTTTAAATTAATGTGGTACTTAACGAAGCGATCGAACGAAAATTAAAAATTTACATTAATAAATTTTTGTAAGATACGTATTCATTATTTAACAAGGGTTCTTCTTACGTTAGGAGTTACAAACTGACAAAAATAGTCTCTAATAAATGGATACATTGCTTGCCTATCTAGAAGTTCCAACCAATATAATTTCAACCAGTTTAAATCAACTATTAGAAAATACTTGTTGAAAAAGCTTATTATGGTTAAACAGCGGACATGAAATCTTGGATTAAGTTGTACAGCAATTTTGATAGGTGATTTCTAATATTTGTTCATCATTATCAGTCCTTTTATATCCCCACTGCAGGGGCCCAGGCCTTCCTTATGGATGGTTAAGGAAGATATGCTATGACCCTCCACGCAATGTAATAACGAGTGCGAATGCAACCGGACCCAACGGCTAAACGTACCTTCCGAAGCACGGAGTACCTAGCTCAAGTCAATAACTTTTTGGTCACTACAAAGTCTGAAACTACTGGACTGATTTAAAAAATCTTTCACCTACAGGAAGCTACATCATACGCGGATGACATAGACATAACAGTGACCTAAGCAATTTTTGTAATGTTGTTACGTATTTCTATTATAGCTGATGGGTTTACCTACATATATCGCTCGTTCCAATTAACAGCGAAAAAAAGTGAAAATGATTATTATATTGGACCCAATGGACCACAATTCAATAGTCCACGTTGTGAAAGTGGAAGGCTTAACTATTAAAGACAGTTTAATACGTAAAAATTACACGAAGAATGTAGTATTGAAATATTAAGTAGATACAATTCGTATCTAAAACTGTTAATGCCTTAATCCTATACAAGGCTAACTTTCACTGTGCGCTGCTCGAGATCCTATCACTTCCTGGTACCACCCTGGTCACGACTGCGTTTACATTGTTACATCTGCATGTTACAATTTCATTTATTTTCCCATGTTAGGTATATATATATTGCATAAAATAAGTACATACCTAAGTGAGTAAACAATTGGATAATGAAAATTGATTTTATCACAATGTACCATCAGTACAGGAAAGATTTTATTGTTTGTTTATATACGGGAATCTATATCAGACGTGGCCGATAAAAGCTACAACTTATGCGGGCAGATCACAGGAACAAAATAGTCTATTTAATTAAGGAATACAAATTTGTAAAATATTGCAGATACTATACACTCATTATTGGTGCAAATCACTATATAATCTAAGGCGCATACAATATAATATGCGAATAAATAATAAGATAATATACAATTTCCCCCAGCGGATCTCTAGGATCCAAGTTCGATTCATGGTAGGGTCAATGTAGTGTATTTTTCTGAATGAGTTTTTAGTACATTTAAGTTTTGTGTATTGTATTTAAAAAAATATATATATATATATATATATATATATATATATATATATATATATTGTTTTCCGTCTTTATCGCCTATCTGTTATTTATATTATTAAAATAGTTACTACAGCTTTGTTTACATATCGTTGCCGTTTTAAAGCCGCAGGCGTTATCAAATTTTTTATTTATATTTTAATCATAGCAACAAAATACTACGTACTACCCATTAGAAGAAACTTTCTTTTCTTTTTAGTCGTAAAGAAGGGGGTTCAAAGTTTGGTGGATGCATAAATTTGTTTTTATGTGTGAATATCAATTTTATTTTGTAGTGGTAACTAAATTGTACTCTGAGTAAGTCCCTATATTATTCAACACTTCTCTAACTTGTGTTTTGTTGTACCTAATTCATTGATAAATAATATTAATTAAATTAGCATTTTTAGTTTGTCTTTCGAATTAAAATGCATCAGACAAATTAACAATCAATAAAAATATCATGAAGAAATAAGTATGTCAGTGGACTTGTTGCTGATTCTACTTTTGACAGCAGTTGATTTTTAACCGTAATACACCATATGTCATTTCTGAAAATTTGACATATTGTAGTAACCTGACGTGCTGGTGTGTGTACATTGTTTTTATTTCGATTTTTTTTTACTATGGACAAAAAATATTAAATATTTTATTTGCCAATCTTCGCAAATGTACTAACGGTTATCTTTTGTTAGTATTATCATAGTACCTCTTAAAATACACATTTTTAAAGGTCAATTTCCCATTTTGTAAAATTAAGTAATTGACACTAGAAAGCCAACACGTGGTTAGCCACAAATTCAATTTTTTTTTGCAAAAAAGAAGTCTGTAAAAATTCTAATTATTTTTTTTAATATTCATACATTCAACAAAATCTATATAATACAATATTATCTTTATTAATAAAGCACAAATGAGATACAATTTCAATTCACATTATTGTTTAAACAAATTTATATTATAATAGCTTAAAAACTTAAGGATACGCCTGCAGTATTATTTGCATATAGTTTTAAAAAAAGGATAATAACTTTATAATTGATTCTATGGAACAAACAATGCAATTTACAAGAGTGTAACTCTGTTACTAAATATTACCCTGGTTTCATTAAATAATTTTTAACACCTTTGCTCATAAAGCTGATGTATTTCCACCGGTTTTAAATATGTTAAGCGGGTCATTAAAAACGCGTGTGTTACCATTGCTAATAGTTTAGTTATAGTCCATACAAATTGCTATATATTGTTGCTATTCAAATTCCGAACTAATCGCCGCGCGGCGCCAGTCAGTAGGCAGCGCTAGCGCGCTGTTAAAAATGGCGGGAAAGCAACAGTGTACATTCACAGATTGAGTTTATTTAATATATTTTTCTGTTTCCTCGCAAATGTGTTGAAAAACGTCGTACAATAAACATACATATTGGTTATATCATGCTCGGCTCAACTACGCCCTCGCCTTCGGCTCGTGCTGAAATTCTGCCTCACATGTTATAACCATCATAACGCACTAATATCATAATTTACTATAACATCACCATCTTTAAAACAATCTTATGCTGCTATCTTAAGATACTACAGAGGCAAAAGAATTTATAAAGAATCTTCATGTTTGACAGAAGTCAAAAATTATACTAATATTATAAAGAAGAAACATTTAAAACACCTATGGGTATCTACATGGGGGTGACATAGGCTTATAATTTACATTGGCATAGTCATGATAAAACAGTAAGCCAACTGTATTTTGTTTGAAAGTAAATTTTGTACTGTTTATGTATTAGAATGTCCACTAGCAATAGAAAAATGTTCATCATCTCTGCATAGCAGCAATTTGTTCATTGATCTGTGCCAGCATCTGAGCAGACTTGTTTATGTTCTCAAACTGATAGCCCATGTGAACTGATATTAGGTGCATCTTCTTTAGATTCTCTTCACTACTCTCCATGAGGTTTTCGGTTGCTGCAAAGTCTCTTGATGCCTTTGACAGGAGCTGTAAATTAAAAATAGGTATTTAATTTTGCACTTAAAGAGCGAGTATTTAGAAAATAGTCATATTTATACCTCATTGGATTTCGATCCTCGTTGTATTTGTCGTGCCAGCGAAGATATATTATTCATATTCACTTGTACTCGTTCAGCGAGCCTTTGTTTTGACTCTGCGAATAAAGAACGCGCGCTACTAGACGAAGCAGACGTCATTGTGCAATAATTAAAATCAACATTAAAATATGTTCACTGTTTTGTGAAAGAGTTGAACGGTTTTAATTACAGATTAAATTAGAGAATTATTAATACATATATAAACACTTATTCAACACCACCAGTCTTTCGATCTATCTCACAGATTATATAGTTTTTTCACGTACACCACAGACTAGTAAAGTAAGGAGATACTACATATCATAGATTATACACTTAATACTGGTACCATGAAGGTAAAGTAAAAGAACTGGAGGCCAAACTCAGTACTATCGGTTGAAGCAAAGTTATTTGACCTCTATTGACCTTTCGTTGGACTCCTGGGTGGCTATGTCATAAATCTAAATTTTCCCGGAACCTGTACCGGTCATTGATGTTATTCACTAATTTTATGTTTCATAAACTTTTTGACAATTGGTACTAATAGTATAGTTTTACACGTCACTAATTGCATAGGACTTGAAACTTCATTTATATATCAGAAATAAGATCGTACATTAAATATACTCTGAAATCCAATCCAATATAACAAAAAACTTAAACAAAAAGGTTATTAAGCAATAACTACAATTAAATAAAATCTATAATAAAAAATGGTACGCAAATATTATAATCAGAAGGCAGATACATAGCTGCAAATTAATAAAAATTATTAACTTTTTACTGTCGTCATGTCAATCTCATTAATCAATAATCCTGACTTGCAATTTAATTTGTTGAATTATTATTAAAACCTATAAATTGTAAAATTATATTCCACTACAGACCATTTCACATAGAATAGATACGATGACATTTGTTAACAGTTGATGAATAAATATTATTCTCAAATCCTGTTTTATATGTTGATCTCAAAACCGTTTTTCTATTAGAAATAAACTCCCCAAACATCACCGTACCCATGCTATGTGAATAAGACACCGTAATTTTTTTTCTAAATTTCCCCATTGTTGTGGTAAATGGCATCCACAAAAAATGGCAACCTCGTGTGTGTCAATATGGCGAATGACAATTACTAATTTCGTCGACTCGAAAACTGTGATTCATATATAAACGTTTCTCGCTATCAAATCGAGAAAAATGGTTCAGAAATGTGTAGTCCTAGGTTGCGGAAGCAAATGACATCCTGGATGTTCTTTGATATTTCACAGGTGAGTCTTAAGTTACTGTAATTGATGACTGCTTGCATTTTAGAAAAATAATGTATTTAACGTAGAATCCTTCAATTTTTGATAATTTACAATAATATGGTATCTAAAGTAATATATGATTTAATTGTTTACAGTAGCATATTTCAGCAATTTTCTAATAAAAGCACAGTTCACATTGTAAAATAAAAATAAACAAACACTAATATGGTAACCATGAAAAAAAGATAAAGGATAAACAATTAAACTGAACTTAATATTTTGTATTTCACTTTTAGTTTTCCCAAGGATCTAATAAGGAGAAGTGGCTATCGAGTGTCAAAAAAATAAGTTTTATAAAATTGCAAAAATATGCAGTAATCATTTTGTGGCTACTGATTATATAATAGAGAATCGGTTAAAGCATACAACAATCCTTTTTTATTCTGATGTGGTAAGTAAAAGTGTATATTCTACTAATTAGGTACAAATTCTTAGGTAGCAAAAATAGAATACAAACTTCCGAGTAAGAACGCGAACTTGTGGCTCGACGACCTTTTTAAGTTTTTAAGTACGCGTATTTAAGACGACACACAAGCGAAAAAGGTCGTCGAGCTACAAGTTCACGTTTGAAAGGAAAAAATATTTTTATTTTACTTAATGTAATATGTCATGAAAAAATGGTCTCGAAATATCTTAATTCCCTAATGGCAGGGTTTAGACAAAATAACCATAATTCGTTTTTTTTCCAGTCGGGACAATCTGATCTAAAAAGTGATGCATTTACCATGCCTTCTACACCTTCAACATCTCGTCGTAGGTTGTCCGATAGACTTGCTATGGTAACAATCAAATAGTATTTATTGTCATCAAAACTGTACTTTTTTAGCCACATATAAATTGAATTTAAAAATAACATAATGTTGTTTTATCTTTATCTGAGACTGACAATTACATCTGAGAATATAATAGAAGAATGTGATATGTAAATCAGTAAATTGACTTAATGGTGAAATATTTACTGGGTGCTTATTCCATTTCAATTCGGTCGGAAGGAAGTTAAGCTGACAATCGTAGTCTGCAGTCTAGTAGTTCACTTTGCATTTTAGATCTACTCCGTGCTTTAGAAGGCACGTTAAGCAGTTTGTCCCGATTGTATCTGCAATTGTAAATACCCTCCAATCCGGAGTGGACGCATTGTGGGTACATTAATAAGCTGGTGATTATTAAGAGTTTTTTGCCAACTCTGATTCCCACATTGCTAAGTTTTAATCAAACTCAAAAATTGTTATTTTTTTATTTGAGAACCCCCTAACGAGACTCATTAAATACTATTATACGTACGACACAGTAAGGATAGCAAACCTTTTTTAAATTTCCTCATTTGAACACCGAAAATAACCCTTATTTATATAAACAAATTTATTTATTTTCTATATCTTTGTTTAGGTCAAAGGATGACAAATTTTACAAGATTTGGTCCAGTAGATTCGGAAAAAGGCTTTTTGTACGGAACTTTAATAAAGTCAATTTCATATTTGACGGAGAATCTAGATTAGATCTATTAATGTCATATGTAACCTTAACATCTACCTAGGAAAATTGGATACTTTTTTGCCTTAATGTTCTACTCTTTAAACTTGTCTCCTTTATTTTGTAGTTGTGTGGACACCCTATTAGAAAGAGAGGAGGGGGACCTAAGGAATGAAATAGAAAATATTCAAGGTCAAAATTTTATGCTTCAAGTAGGTATGGAGGAGTTTGGTCTCCAGTTATTTTGACGTGGATACGTCTATGTTTTCGTTCTACAGGGGGGTCATTCTGTGAGCAGGAGTATATGCACTAACGCCATCTATTGGCATATAAGTGAACTATGCTTGCTCTGCAGGAGGAGGGGCATTCTGTCAGCAGGAGTATATGCACTAACGCCATCTGTTGGCGCTAGTGAATACTTTTTTATTTAATGTCTTCAATTTGTTTATTTTTTTTTTATTATTCATTTATAAATGCAATTATGCCACAACGTTGCATAATTCCGGGTTGTTTTGGAGAATCGAATCGTTCAGTTTTTAGAGTGCCAAAGAACATTGATAGATGTGAAGAGTGGTTAAAAGCTATTCGTGATCACGGCCCGTCAACTCCGTACAAGAAACCAATCGCGTAGGGGTCCAGTGATGTATGACATTTCCACACGCCCCTCACCCCTGTCAGTAGATGGAGACATGACACCTGACAGAAACTGTCATTACAACAAAGAGTAAAGATACTTAGTTTTAATTAATCTTTAATTAATTTTACTTGTTGGAATTAATTTATTCACTTCACATTGGCAAAATTGTGTGAAATGCGCAGATATGCCATTAATAAAAGAAGAAGAAGACTAAAGTATGTACCTACATATCAGGGAATTACAAGTGATTGAGTAAAGTTTCGTTTGTGCTTACCCTCTTCGCTTTATTTGTAATATTAACTCTCCTTTTTTCGAAGTATTTTTCTTTGTAGAAGATGCCTAGGAAATTGGTGTGTTGTGTTATGGTTGTGTTACACGCATTGTTAGAGTACGAACAGGACGCTATTCTTTGTAAGATTCTAGTGAACGAGAAAAGATTCTCCAAGTGGTTACAATGTCTTAGTGCTGTGTGTGATACTGAAAATTTGAATCCAGGCAGAAGTGTCATTTGTAGCAAACACGTTGTACCAAGATTCATTACTCCAAAATCACGACTCTTGGGTGACGCATATCCGTCATTGTTTAATGATGATGGGCTCTCAATCGGCCTACCCTCTTCAAGCAATACTGGTAAGGCTGGTTTAATCTGCTATTACCTTTAGATAATGTAATTAAAATGATATGTATCTTCACTTTATGTTGTGTTTTGGAATACCGCTATTCTTCATTAGATTTTTTTGTTATTACAGAAATTATATTCACTTGGGAACACAGCTATGCAAGAAAAAGTCATGTTGACCACACATATTAGAAAGTGTAACTGAACAGAGGTTTGTTTTTAATTTATTTTATTTAGATAACAAAGTTCATGCTGCAGTTTTGGTGTATTTTAACATAGATTTTTGCTTTAAAAAAGTCTAATAGATCTGTCTTTCTTACACACATAAAGAAAAATTACATTAAGTTATTTAACTCTAGCGGGCATGCTAGAAGTGATTTTGATCAGAGAAAAAATTTATAATATAAATAACATATTTCTAATATCATCTAAGATTATATCCTGTTTTTTAATCTTACACACATAATCAATATTGATTTCATAGGTGGTGTAATTTTCAAAGAACAAATTGAGACTCCTGTGTCTGCAGCCACTGAGTTTACTAAATTAGTTGCTGGTTCTGGAGATTAAAATATGACACAAACTAAATTATCTGGTAAGACCTGTCTCTTTCTTTAGTGTATCTTTATTTCAATCAAATAGTAGTTCTAATAGAGAAATTCACTGAATACTTTTGATGTTACAGACCCTGTGAAATGTACCCAAACAAAAAGGAAAAGGCTTATTACCAAATAAAGCCAATTGTCACCTTTATACCAGAGAATTTATGAAGAATATAACAAGCCAAAGACGTAGTTGAACTTTCATAAAAAAGTTAAGAATACTTAAATACCTTTAAGTTTTGTAAAAATTTATCATTTGAAAAGTTCACACAAAAAATGAAAACAGTTGCAAAAAATGTTTTTGAAATGCAAGTGAGCATGTGCTCTAAAAATAAACATGAGAGGTGATTCACTACCGAAGAAAAGATAATTGCTTTATCAATATCGAAGCAGAGTCTAAAGTGTTATTGATTTTTAAGCAAAATTTTTTATTTTATCATCCAATACTACACTGAATACTATGATTAGAAAATTGATCATAGAACCAGGCTTCATGTAAGAGGTAAATATATTCCATATAAGGTTTTTCATACTACTTTTATAATTTTTTGTATTACTACAAAATAATAATATGTACCTACCTATTTGAA